TGATGATGATGGTGATGGTGATGATGATGGTGATGGTGATGATGGTGATGGTGATGATGATGATGGTGATGGTGATGGTGATGGTGATGATGGTGATGGTGATGATGATGGTGATGATGATGATGATGGTGATGATGATTATGATGGTGATGGTGATGATGATGGTGATGGTGATGATGATGGTGATGATGATGATGGTGATGATGATGATAATGATGGTGATGATGATGATGATGATGATGATGTTGGTGATGATGTTGGTGATGATGATGATGATGATGATGGTGATGATGATGATAATGATGGTGATGATGATGATGATGATGATGATGATGATGATGATGATGTTGGTGATGATGATGATGATGATGATGATGATGATGATGATGAAGGTGCTGCTGGGAAATTATGAATAAAATCTAAAATGTTTACTTAAATCAGTATTTATTTTGAATCCATTCTAAACAGTTGTGTGAAGTTTATGACTGATTTAAAGGCAGAATCTACAGCATGTTTAAACTGAATTTATTATATCTTGAATAGTATAAAAAATTACGTGCTTATTAAAATTTTCACTTTCATTAGTAAGTAGGAAGTGTTATAAACTGAGGTGGTACCAGGGTCAGAGGAACCTGTGGACCTGTTTTTGCTTTAATAATTACATGCAGGTTGACAAAACTGACAAATGTTTTTTGTTTAATTTAATGTTTTTGTCACCATATAACACAGTGACATTTATGTTCTGAAAGCTGCATCACACCCTGTTCCTTTTAGTATGAGTAAACCTTTCACCAAATGATAATAAGTGAAACACTCCTCTAAATTCACTCTTGGTGATTATTAATATTACAGCTGTTCACTGGGTAAAGTTATTATTAGTTTTAAACATGCAGTTAATGGTCATTTATTGGCACATTGACATGTTACAATTTAAAATAAATCAAGAATAAACAATATAAAAGTAAAAGACCTCCTAAAGTCACTGGATATGTTAAATTGTATCACATTAATTAATCTTATCTCAGCTGTAGCAGTGAGTTTAAAAACAGGATGATGGAACCAGTTTAATGAATAATTTGTCTCTGAAATAATTATTAAATTAAGTCTTTATTTATGTAGGTAATTGTATGTTTAAGAACCTGGTAAAAAAAAAAACACCAGAATGCAGGAAATGGCATCTATTTCGTTCAAATGTTTCTGGGGGAGGACCCTGAGACCCCCCACCCTGACCTGTGCCCCCCTCACTTTTAAACTGGTTCTGATGCCAGTGGACAAACAGAAACCACAGGACATGTGTTTTAGTCTGCAGAAATATAAACAACACAAGATAGAAGAAAATTAAAGAAACATTTCAGATAATAAATAGATTACAAAAAGAAACAAAAGTAAACGTGTACAGATTATTATTATTAAGTTTATTTTAGAAAAACGAAGTTAGAAAAAAGAACATAAGCAACATAAAATAAAAGTATTTTGACCCACACTCCACAGCAGCAGGGGGCGGTAATGCACACCTTCCGTTGTTTGCCAACCGCCATCAAACACCACAGAAGAAGAAGAAGAAGGTTGGTGACGCGTTAGAAAACAAAACGAGCCTCAGAGTTACTCCTGACAGGAATGTAAGAGTTTTACTTTATTAACGTGTATTATAGTCCAGTTCAAACTGAATCTGTTAACTGAGCTGATCACAGCGTGTTAATGACGAGTTCTGTTCCTTCAATAAACATTTATTAAATATTATCAACCAGTCAGACGCTCAGCGTTAGCATTAGCAGCTAACAGCTAGCAGCTAGCTCGCCCTTTGCTCGTGTTTTGAGGATAAAATTACTTATTTTCTAAAGTCTTCCGGTGCCGGTGCATTCAGAAAGCAGAAACATGTCGGAAGATTATGAATTTAGTGAGGATCAGTACACGATGAGAATGGAAGAAGACGGAGAGGCTAACAACGACAACCCGATGTTAGAGGCCGAGGACTGCGGCCCGGGGGCCGGGGCCGAGGCCGAGGGCTCCAGGATCGATGCCAGCAAGAATGAGGAGGATGAAGGGTGAGTTTACTGGGATCATAACAACAACAACACATGTACCCGTATTAAACAGTGCTTTAGGTTCAACACACACTATGTATGGAACAATACAGATTTTTAAATTAACTTTATCAACTTGTGTTCTGAAGATGCTCTGTGTTGAAGGATCAGTGGATCTGTGTTCGACTACTCCACCTAGGCTGCATTTTTGAGCTCAGATCCACTGAGAAACTTGCTGTTTCAGCAACATTTAATTTAAAAACTGAACTTTTGAGGTTAAACAAATGTTCATAATTAATATAAATAAATTACAAGTTAAAAGGGGCATGGACATTTCTCTTTTTTGTATCGAAAAAAAATCAAACCGTGAGACTAAAGTATCGAACCGAACCGTGAATTTTCTGTATCACTGCACCACTAATAGTTATTGTTATTATGTTATTATTTCTTAATGTTAGATGGTTGGGAGTTTGAAAAAAAAAGTTTTTGTCCTGACTGTGACTTATATTTTCTGTAAATAAAACAATTAAAACAATAAACTCCAGGAGTGGTGATTGCATACATTTATTCAGACCAGTTAGTAAACTGGTTTTTATCACGTGTTAAATCATGTTTGATCCCATCAACCTGTCCATGACTGCAGGTGGAAATGAGCATTATTTATATAAGCTGGGACCATGTATCTGTCCTTGTAAAGGTTAATAAAATGCTCTACATTGTCTCTGTTTAAATAAACCAACAGTAAACAGTGGATGTACATCACTCAGCTATTTAAAAATAACAAACTCTTCAATCATAAAATACATTTCTTAAGTAAAATAAAAACATAAAAATACTTACATTAACAAAGGAAAACATATCTGCAGTGAAAGTAATTGTTTAACAAAATGTTTTTTTTTTAGTCAGTTCAAATGTTTAAGTAATAGTTTATCATTATTTCAGGAGAAGACAGAATAACAAAGAGTCTGGAAGCTGAATGAAACTCTGAGACAGCAGTCTTATTGTTTCAAAATGGTTTTATAAGTCATGTCCAAACTGGTCAGGGAAGGTGTGCACATTAATCAGATGTAAACACCTGGTAGCATGGTCACATGTTTTCATGTTGTCCCACTGTGGAACATCTCTAAACTCATAACTCCTTCATCATAACCAGGGTCTGTCCATGAGCCTGGCCTTAGTGTGCACAACAGACTTATTCTGTTCAGCTACGTTAGAAAAATAAACTGCAGTCTTATACTTGATGCTTTCATTTCAAAACACTGCTAATCTTCTTTTTCAAATGTTTGTTTTGTCAACAGGAAGATATTTGTTGGAGGGCTCAGCTGGGACACAACTAAGAAGGACCTGAAGGATTACTTTTCAAAGTTTGGGGAGGTTGTAGACTGCACCTTAAAGCTGGACCCTATGACCGGTCGATCAAGGGGCTTTGGCTTTGTGCTCTTCAAAGAAGCTGAAAGTGTTGAAAAGGTAAATTCCTGCTGCTCCAAGTTCTACTTTTACTGTGTTTAGTGTGGAAACTAGATGTGGACTGAGGAGTTTTGGTCTGCCACAGGGCAGCTGGGCCTTGTAGTTTACCTTCAACACTAACCGTGTTTCCATCAAGGCTTTTTGATGCACATTTAGAAGTGTCGCGTTAAAAATGTGAAAAAAAAGTCTGATGGAAACAGCAAAATTAAAAAAAAAAAACCTCAGTTCCTTAAAAAGTTTTTACCCTCTCTTGAGGTGGTTTTTAGATGATTCACAAAGTAGTTAATGAACAAAACAGGAGATGGAAACATGTTTGCTGAATAAATTCTGACGTAGCGCATATTTACCTCACGTGACGTTCAGCTGTTTCAGCTTTCCTGCCTCGTCCCAGATGTTAGCCCAGCGTAGATGCACGTGTCTTTCTGCTGCGTAGTTTAACATTGCGTTTATTTCCCTACGTCTCCTGGCAGCGTTAAACATAGCCTGTACTAGCTGAATAGATAGAATAATTACAACTTGACCAATAGCAAGGCATTCACAAAAAAATCGCTCCATTGTCCCGAGATGATTAGCCTCCGCTAGTTAGCAAGTTTCACTTCCTGTTTTGTCGCAGACGTTATTACATTATGTAATTACTGTAAAACTGATGCATAATTATTGATCTTTACAAATCAGGACAGCTGATTGCCAGTATATACAATGTTTATTGTTTTGGTCCAATATGTGTATTTCTTTTAACAAAATATAACAACGATTGTTTAATTTAAAAACTGAGTATTTACCAACCCTTAGAAGAACTTGTATGCATAAAATTAACATAAGATAAAAGAGCGTTCTTGGTTAAAAAACTAAATTATTTGCTACAATAGGCTGGTTGTGGCAGCTGCTGATGCAATCAGTAATATGTAATCAGTTACATATGCACACCTGTGACTGACTGCTGTTTTTTTATTATTTTATGTATAATATACACAGATAAAATAAGGTCAGCAGAATAATGGGTCTATGTGATTCACACAGAGAGCACTGCCTTGTCTTTACAGTGTATAATAATTATTGGAAAGTACAAGATAAATCTTTCTTACTTTCATAAAATGCTAGCTACAGTTTAGCCGTTTTTATTTATTCATTTTTTTTGCGTAATTTGTAGGGATGGAAAATTTATATTTATTTAAAAAATTGAACGGTTCATTTCATCTGTCTTGGTTTGGATGTATCCTGATGCATCTCAGTGATGCAGGTAGAAAAAACAGTTAAGTAGGTCCTAACCTCCCGCTTCAGATGTTATCATCCATGAAATGGGCGTTGTTAGGCGTTATCAGTCCTATAGAATGGCTTCAGAGTGTCCCACCTGTGCCACTTAGCAGGTTCCCCGTCGGTTAGGGGAACCTAACCTATGGGACATTCTGCATTTGCTCTAAAATTAACCTAGGTTAATTTTAGAGCAAATGACATGGTTAGCACTAAAGACACCGCCCTCCAACGGTTGTAAATTGTGGCCCTCCAATAGAGCAGTGGGTAGAGTGTTGGACCAGAGAGTGGGAGACCACGATTAGAGACCAACATGGACATAAAAAATTTATTACAATATCTTTTGGTTATTTACACATTCATTGTCACTGATATATTAATCCACTAGGGGGCACTGTCAGGACAGTCTGAAGCCTAGAAGGCACAGTAGGGACCCTCTGAAGCCATTGCATGGGACTGATAACACCTAATAACGTCCATTTCATGGACTGATAACATCAGAGTCCCCTGTCCTAACAGTTGTATTAGCAACGCCTCCACATGGTGGACAAACAGGTTTAATGATGACAATCAAAACTGTCTGTTTACATGAAAAAGAGACCATCAGCCTAACAACTGATCATTAGTTCCCTGAATATCCCTGTTGTTCATAGAGGACCATCAGCCTAACAATAGATCATTAGTTCCCTGAATATCCCTGTTGTTCATAGAGGACCATCAGCCTGACACTTGTTAGGGTCCTGATTATCACTATTGTTCACAGAGTGCTGAGTCACTGTTTTATATGTCAACAAACAGTTGTGATTGTCATTGTTAAACTTGTTTTTCAAGGCTCTGTTTAGAGAAATAAAGATATTGGACATATTTCACAATAAAAACTCATATATAGTTATATTTATGATTTTGGAGCCTTAATTTAAACATTAACAATGCAAAAAGTTTTGTTTACTTTAGACAAATAGTTCACAGCTGTGTCACATAATAGTTTAAAACATCACACAAACAGGCCTAAAATATCCAGACAATAGATTTGTTCAGAAGTATTTATAACATTTTGTCCTTTTTTATCATGTTAGCATAAATATCTCCATTGTGCTCTGTGTTAATCAGAGCAAGGATAGCCTTTTTTTCCCACATTAATATGTTATTTTGGAAAATATTTGCTAGACTAATTGGCAACTTTGTATTTATAAAGTCATGATCTACCAGCAAGATTAAAAAACAAGTTTCATTATTTTATTTTTCATTCCATCTTTGAGCAAATTGAAAATATTTTGATTTTTGACTCAAAACTAAATAGCAGTTCAGTTCATAAAGAAGTCCACAATAACGTGCAGTTTGTTGAATTATCCTGTGATTAAATTACTATAAAGTGATTTTTCCATGCAGCTGATTTATCACTCTTATTTTTCCTGTGTGAAGGTTGCATCTCAGAAGGAACATAAGCTTAATGGGAAGGTGATTGACCCCAAAAGAGCCATGGCCATGAAGAGCAAGGAGCCTGTGAAGAAGATCTTTGTTGGTGGTCTGTCTCCAGACACCCCTGAAGAGAAAGTCAGAGAGTATTTTGGTGCCTTTGGAGAGGTGTGTTGATTCATTTATTAAGCTCTTCCAAATGTAGGGCTATTTATATATATATATATATATATGTTGAGTTTTGTAATGAAAGCTATGAAACAATAATTAATACTTGTATTGATGATGCAATAAGGTGGAATCGATTGAACTTCCCATGGAGAACAAAACTGAGAAAAGGAGAGGTTTCTGCTTCATCACTTTCAAAGAGAATGAGACAGTTAAGAAGATCATGGAGAAAAAGTACCACAATATTGGACTCAGCAAGGTGCAGTCTTGTAAAAGTAATCCATAAAGTTATTTTATTATTTTGACTATGAAACTGAAAACATGTATTGATTGTGTGTTTCAGTGTGAAGTAAAGTTGGCTGTGTCAAAAGAGAAATATGAGCAGCAGCAGTACTGGGGAGGAGGAAGAGGTGGATACTCGTCCAGGTCTAGAGGAAGAGGTGCTGGTGAGTCAAGAATACATTTTTGATAGAAAACAATCAACTAAAACACATTGCAAAATGTCTTCAGAGAAAATATGAAACATTGCACACATTTCTTACCCTCCGATGTAATGGAGCAGTGGATTAGGTCCCCACCCTGGTTTAGAGAGTTAGATTACACAGCCTACATGTGTTTTGTGTACCTGGAGAAGGGGGTGCTGCTGGAGTGTGGTGTGCAGTGTCACTGTTCAGACCATAACCAAAGGAAGAAGTGTGTTCACATCGTCAACACAAAGCTGAGCTTTGGTGCTGATTGAACTCCACCAGGGCTGCCCCATTCCTCTGGTCCTGTTTGTGTTGTTCATGGACAACATCACAAGGCCCAGTAATGTAGAGCAGGGGGTCTGAACCTTTCTGACCTCAGGGCCCAGTTTGTTTAAGATATAGAGACACGAGGTCCAGTCACACATTACTAATGTATGGATCAAAATTATATTTCATTTTTATTGTATTTACATCATAACTAAACTATCATAACTAACATAACTAAATTAAATACACTTACAGTTTAAAAGTAAAACTCCTGTCAAATAATCACAAGACATGATTATAACAAACATTTTTATATTGTAACCTGCCCATAACTATTATTTGAACAAATACAAAGGTCAGTCAACAGACCACTTAGGATTATCAACACAAAAATAACCCACCCATCCATCCATCCATCCATCCATCCATCCATCCATCCATCC